TTGTCATCCTCACCCTCCCAGACTGACAAGCAAAGTTCGCTTGCTAATGCATCAACTCATGAATTTTATTATGCAACAAACAAGTAAATAAATAAAAGGATAGATTGGTCTCTACGCCCCTGATGACGTCACGAGCCCTCACCTCCTTATTTGTTCTGTAGAAAGTCTTAGAGACTATTTTTGTGACAGGTTGAACCGAGTACGAGGCCAAAGAGGAGGACTAGGAGATCGACTAAAGCTCATTTTCCCCATCGGAACTTCAGGAAATTGAGCTTTAGTGATTGATATTATTGGACGAGAGAGAAAAAAAAACGAAAGAAAAAGAGAAAGAAAATAATAATAATAACACTGGCTGGTCGCACTCGAACCGAAGTCACTCTTCAGAAACATTTACGCCTGAAAACTGCAATAATTAAGCGAATATCCCGGTCCAGATAACGTGGTGTTTCCTCTCTGTGTTCTCTGGTCCACTTATACGACGTGTAGATGGCAATATTAGTAATTGGTTGTTTGGCAGTTTGGTCTGGAAGTCGTACCCGCTGGCGGTCGAGGGGGCGTGGCGAGCTCTTGTGTGGGCGGGGCATTCAGAGCTTCTTCTTCACTCCCTTTTGCACGGTGATGGGCTGTGCAACGTTGCTACGATGCAAGAAAGAGAGAGTATGAGCTGCCATTCAAGTTAGATAAGCTTTGTTTCGCAAGAATTTAAACGCAGCGAGAAAACGCCATTCGCAAATTATTTCTTCTTCCAGATTTCATTTCCTCGTTCATTATCAACGATAGATGAATCATCGAAAGAGGCATTCCTTAAGACACCTTGTCTGCGAGAAAAGAAAAATAAATAAATAAATAAAGGGAAAAAACAACTCAAGAGCTCGCCATTTTTCCTCGACTGAGAGTGTGTATAAACTCCTCTAGTTTACAGTCACAATATTGGTGCTTTTTTTCCTAGTTTAGTCTCGTCCCGACACCGTATGTGATAAAACGTTGCGGGAAAGAAGAAAGAAAAGAAAAAAAAATAATAACATAATTAATTATTTGAATTTATACTCTTTTTTTTTTCTTTGAATTTCGGTTGGTGCTTTTATTTATTTACGTTTTTTTTTTTTTTTTCAAAGATATATATATATATATATGTATATGTATAATTTCGTAGCTGTGACTCCGAGCGGCAGGACGTTGAAAGACTGCAGCTATTTTCCCTTCTCCTTTCATTTGCACATTTAGGAAAGCTTGGCGCAACCAACATATCAACATCACTTGTAGAATAGACTGTATGTTAATGTGCCATAGAATTTACATTGGTTGCTTGTGCCAAGAGATTTTTAGCGTTGGGGTATGTTTTGTACAGGCAAGACAAACAAACAAAAAAAAAAGAAATGAGTGTTTTAGATTAGTTCGAAGATGTGAATGACATTACACATTACTATATATATGAATATATATAGATATATATAAATACATAATTCACGTGCCCTCCCATCTACCTGCGATACCTTTACTTACAAAAAAAAAACAAAAGAAAATCGAGTAAAATGAAGTTTAGCGAAGTCTCTATTTCTATCTACATGACATTGAGGTTTGTATACATAAATAAAATAATCAAGGCGACATATACCCCGAGTGGAACCCCGTTATAGCGTCCTGGGGGAAGTCCGTGTCCAAAAACCCCGGGAATTAAAAAAGAAAGAAAGAAAACAAAAGAGAGAGAGAAGAAAAAAAAAATGTAAAGGACTTCGATACAATTTTTGTTTTCGGCGGAAATCGAGGGAAAAGTGAAAACGTAGAATTTTTTTTTCTTTCTTTTTAGTCACTGTCTGTGGTGTCGTTAAGTGTATCGGATTTTCTGTTACCGAGTGAAATATTGTATATGACCGTATGTACAGTGTATATATATGTGTGTATGTATGTATGTATGTATACACACATACGATCAGTAAATCATGTGATTAATTTAGGAATATTGTGATCATTAACTACTATAATCCTGTAAAAAAAGAGAATTTTTTTCTCTTCTTTTAGAATTCGCTGACTCTGCCGTGAAGTCAAACCATTCGGACTGCGAAGCTATCGGGATCTCTGTCTCGGACTCTCTCGTTGGTCGTCCTTCAAGGAAAATCGATTTTCATTTCACGATTCCTTCCCTTTTTCCCTCCTCCCCCTTCCCTCAGTCCCTTTCTTTTCTTCCTTCCTTCCTTCCTTCCTTCTCTCTCTCCCTTCTCTCAGTCCCTTTCTTTTCTTTTCTTTTTCCTTCTCTTTCTCCCTTCCTTCGCTCTCCCCCTTCCTTCTTTCGTTCGTTCCTTCCTTCCTTCCTTCCTTCCTTCCTTCCTTCTTTCCTTCCTTCTTTCCTTCCTTCTTTCCTTCCTTCTTTCCTTCCTCCCCCCTTCCCTCCTTCCCTCCCTCTCCTCTCATTATTCTTCTATTATATTTCTCTTATTTCCATATATTACGCACTCCTCATTCTAACTTTTGACAAAAAAATCTTAAGAGATGATAACGATTG